ATGGATGGAAAGCAGTATTTGGAGGTGCATGCAATTCTCGGCAGGCATGCAAAACTGGATTATGCACGAAAACAGGAGCATCAGGATTCATCCAGCCAGAGGGAACAATCAACGACAGAGTGGACAGAGGAAGCCCAGCAAGCAATTAGCATTTCACCGTCTAGGTTTACTATAGACCTGATTTAGTCCAGCTGTGAAGAACCCACATCTAGCCACATTAACTTTACATGTGGTTACGTGACGTTTTTGCCAAAATAACTGCAAGGTGTATGATATTCCATCATTTAAGCAAGGTCTAAAGTGATTACTGTTATGAGTTGTATTTTTCCTCTGGATTTTCTGAGTTTTTGGCATTGTTTTCATGTGTCCTTCTATTTGCCTGTTTCTCTCGTTCCTTGTCCTTAGTAGTTTATGTCTTGTCTCTTATCTTAGCTCTTGTTCCTGCATTTTAGTTCTTTGTCTTTGTACCCAGTTCTGTGCCTTGGTTCATGTTTTGGTATTTACTGCAGGTTCCTTGTCTGCATTATTTTAGTTTAGTCTGCTCGTGTCTGAGTTAGTTTGTTTATTTCTGATCTGTTACTACTTGTGATATGGCCTGTGTTTAGTGTTCAGTAACCTGTGTTATGTCTGTTACCCCAGTATCCCTCTGCATGTCAGTCTCTCTGTTTTCCCCTGCTCTCTCTCTGCCTGCCTGTGTCTCGTTAGTCTCATGTCTGTCACCTGTGTTACTCCCGCCCTGCTCGTTAATCCCTGGTGTATACTGTAGATGTTTGGTGTTTCTCTTCAGTCTTCGTCCGGTCATTGTTCGTATTACCCCCCTCTCTGTTGTGTTCAGATGCTCTGTCTTCTGTTGTGGTTTTTCCTCATTGTACCCTGTTGTTCCTGCAGTTTTGGATTTCTCGTTTCTCTGGATTTTCTGTTGGATTACTTTTTGTTTGGACTGTTTGTTTTGGATTCCCTGGACTCAGCTACTACCTTTGTTTTTTTGTTTCATTTCTTTAACATGTTTTACGCGCAGCCTGTGCGTAGCCACGATTTAGCTCTTATTTGGGCAGGCTATGTGTAGTCTGCTTTTAGCCCACCCGGCAAAATAGAGGCAATCAGTGGTCTAATATCAACGGCTTGGCTATAGCCCTGTTTCAGGCCAAATTGGTTACATGTAGTTTTCACCCATGCATTGTTGAGTTGCATTACATCATATTATCAAATGCAAGTAAATGTTTGAAACATTTTAATTATCTTTATTTTAGCTGTAAACGTTCACCACATTAACTTTCATTTTAATTTAAAACAAAATGCAAATACTATTTTCAACTGCTAGATGGCAGGTGTAGCCCTACTGAGACATGACTACTGGCAACACAAGACTTGAAAGTTTACATTTATTAATTTAGCGACTTACAATTGCTATCCATGTCAGAGGTCGCACGCCTCTGGAGCAACTAGGGGTTAAGTATCTTGCTCAGGGACACAATGGTGGATGGGTCACAGTGGGGGATTGAACCCAGGTCTCTCACACCAAAGACATAGTCTTATTCATTGCGCCTTCGCCACCCCGGAAAGTTAGTAGACATCATCAGAGTTGCCAGATCTCGAGATAAACATATCTGCCATTTTTAAACGAGGGATACGTTACAACTTCGGCCTTTCAACGATCAACGGGCGAGAGTTTACTGCAAACACTGGAAGCGAAAAGACATTTAGTCTTGTAGGTATCTGTGTCTTTGTTTGACATGACTTCATTATTTATCTATTTGTTAACGTGTAGAAACCATTGCTGCCCTACTCTCAATGCTGACCTGTAGAAGCAGTGAGCATTGTTTGTTAATGATGGATCCTCCACAGAAGTGGAACACAGAGGTTTGACGACTGGCCTGCCAGGGCCAGCTGCCTGCAGAGGCCATTGTCCTTCAACAATCTTGGTGTTGAACGAAGGCTGACCACACACTGAGGAGGGAGATGATAAGGACAGAGTGAGCAATAGGTGGTTGACAGCAAATGCATTTACCTATAATAATGAAACTATAAACAAAACGTTTAAAATTTCCCAATGACAGATGGACAGGAAGTAAAATAAATGACTAATCTAGTTGTGAGTGAGACTGATAATTCTGAAACTCTGAAATTGTCCTTAAGTGTGAGTGTGAGTGGTTGTCTGTCCAAGTGTGTGTCTATGTGTGGCCCTGCGATGGATTGGCAACCTGTCCAGGGTGTTCTCCACCTTTTGCCCAATGTCAGCTGGAATTGGCTCTAGCCCCCCGCGACCCTGTAAGCAGGAGAAGCGGTTGATGATGGATGGATATGCCCAGGGGTGGAAAAGTACTGAATTACCTTTACTCGCATTTGTTAAGGTGTGGTGTGGGGACAGACTGGACCCAAACGCAACTCTGGGGATTAACAGGTTTATTTTGGGGAAAGAAGGGGTTGAGGGACTGGAGTTGAGGGAGAGGTGGAAGCCGGGGAGACGCAGGCACGGGGAACCGAGGAGACTGAGACCAGAGGGCCGGGGGGCACTGGGGACCGAGGAAGAGAGGAGACAGGAGAGAACTGGGAGGTCGCCGTGGGGGAAGTCCGAGGGGAGAGGGCAGGTGAGGGAGTCCAGCCAACTTGACAGAGGACGAGGGTGAGTGAACAAGGGGAGAGAGACAGGATGGCGCAGCGCAAATCGCTTCATATCTTAAAGGGCCAACTCAAAGGGCGCAAAATGTAACGTAACGTAAATGGTCGACTACAGATTTGCAATATAAACATCTTAAAACTGAAGTGCAGCCTTGCTCATGTGGACTGTGAGCTGCACTTTATTGGAGCTGCTGAAGTTAAGTTGTGGATTTGAGGTGAGATTTCTGCCTGATCAGTGTGTTTGTGGTTGGTTTCGGTTTTACATGCAGCATGCTGTCCCAAACTGTGTTGGTCTAACGGTCTAAAGTGATAGGCTATATACCAGCGATCAATAACGTAATGCACAGCAGAGTAGAGGCCAGCTAGAATTAAAAATATTATGAACTCTCATTAAACTATGACATTAGTCTTGTGATATTGCAATTTTGTCAGAGAACACTGTGGTACATATTCTGAATGTGCAGAAAGTTTTGAACCTGAGCAGAAAATCTGCTTAAACAAATGAGCTATTAAAGTCCAGGAGTTTATAAATGAATATGAATGAGTATTTTTCCCCAAATGGAGACTCAAAAGAGAAGGCAAGGCAAAGCATGTGTACTGACTTAGCAGGGATCTTATTAAATTAGAAAAGTTGATCTACAGGGAAAAATGTATTTAAAAACAATAGCATACAGTATGCCTGAATTCTATTAAATTTTAATATTTTGAATTGTCACATACCGCCTCAAAATTGTGTTTCGCTTTATATAGATAGAGATGAACCATAAATTGATGTAATGCTCAAAATTTAAAATCTCGCCCAGAACTCCAACATGTCACGGCCAGAATTCTGCCTGCCTGCCGAGAACTGTAAGCACCTCATTAATGCTGAGAAAAGAGGTGGATGCAAATCTCGGCAGGTAGCCTGCAACATCTGTTTGCATTTGCAATTATGCATCCACCTCTTAAGGTCCTTTTCAGACACTTTGCTGTGCTCAGTGATCGAATGCACCACATCTTTTAGCTGAATCTTAACGAATCGGACTTCTAAGTGTAATAAAATATTAATGACTGTAATCGTTCAAAAATCATTTATTACCATTGATGATCCCCACAAAGGATATTATAGTATAGTATTATAGTATTTTACATGGGTTACTAAGAGGAACCAAGCTCCCCCGTAGTTTGCACCCTACTTGTACCACGGGTAGTTTGTAAAAAAAAGTTTTTATAGTTTGGTAAGACGCTTTGCTCAAATTAGCCAAAAAGACATGGGGTGCATGACATTGCTAATGTTGGTTGGCATTGGCAACCAGCTGGTAACTAGTTAATTATGCTTAGGCCTATGTTAATAAAAAAATGTATTATGCTAACGCCTATGAAGTCACATTAAAATTACCACCTGTTTGAAGCTTAAATAGGGAGATGACTTTATAAAAACATTCACAAAACTTCTCATAATAGCATAAAAAAGTTCTCTAACATTGTTTTGCGCCATTGCTTTAGCAAAGGATCTGTCAAACGAACTAATATCTGGCTTTGTGCCTTCTTCAAATCGCAAAAGACTGCGATTTAATTAAGTATAATAACAAGGCCTGTAAATATTAAATCAGTATAAATAAGTTATTTTAGGAGGTTTATTAAGTAACTAAGAAACTTTTACTCTGAGTACATTTTAAGGGAGGTACTTTTTACTTTTACTTGAACAGATTATTATAAGAGTAACTTTACTTGTACTTAAGTAAAAATTCATCAGTGTAACAGTAGTTTTACTTAAGTACAATATTTTAGGACTCTTTCCATCTCTGGATATGCCCCATGCTAGTTTGACATGTGCTATTTACATGGGTTGAAATTTGAGATCATCCCCAACATTTATTACTAAACTGGTAAAAACACAAACATTTATGAGTGACACACCTTTAACCCTTTCCTCTCTCAGCTAACAGACTGCGAATCATTTAGTTACAGAAAAGTTTAATATTCCCCCTAAAAATCATTATGACCAGGAAAATGTCAGTTGATTTCCTCCTTTGTTACGTCTTACACCCACTAGAGGTCACACATCATCCATAAATAAAGCATGCACTACTGCACTACTCACCATTCAAATGCATTTCTGTACATACAACAAGTCTGAGGGGCCTGAGGAAACCGGTCTGAGGAGGAGAAATGAGGTCTAAGCGTCTGCAGTTGAACCTTTTTGGCGCTCCACATTTCACTGAGTAATGTGGAGCAAAAGTGAGCATGTGCAGAACTTTTTGAGTCATCTATGAGTAACAACACAGCATTTGAGACTCGTAGCTACAGATTCAACAGATTAAAGATGTTGTAGTTAGTGACTTTTGTTTGAACAAGAACAATATTCAAGATATTTTATAGAAAATATTAGCTTCAGCAAATGTTGCAAAAAATGTTCAATTTGTTTTATTTTGATACATGCATGTGGCTAAGAAACACAACCTCAGCCTCCAGAATGACCATACAGTTGAATCAGCACATCTCTAAAACAGTTTCAACAGAAACAGATTATAACCATCATGAATGAGGATTTACTGCAGGACATTTAGATTAGACTGCATGAGTTCATACATGTGCTCAAAGCCGAAAGAAAGGATTTCCCTTAATTAAAAACCAGGTTACTGTGATAAAAAAAATCAAAGGGGTTAATAGTTCAGCACTTTCACATCTACAGGACAGTTGTTGCCACGGCAAAACTTGACAAGACTTAATATTGACATTTATCTTTCAAACTAAATTATTATCAATGTAAAGTTCAGTTTAAGTATTTTTTAGAGCAAAAGCTGCTTGTTCACTTTAGATATAATTGTACATTAAGGTACACTAGCTCAGATAGGTAGATGATGACATGTGTTCCTCTGACCTCTAAAATATGCTCCTTAAGTTTTTAAATCCATTTGTCAACGACTGTAGGAAATTCCATGACAGCAAGAGTTTAATATACCTGCAATGTAATCAATACACACCATCCTGTTTTCAGTTATTTGAAGGGGAAGTTTTAGGTAAATGACAAATCATCATCTTGTCTTTGTGTAACAACTGGATCCTTCAAAAACCTTGACACGTTGGTACGCCAGGCTACATATACCTACATTTGTTCGGTGCTGCTTAAACAATTCATTTTCATTAATTTATCGATTTTACGCCCATAAATTACACCCTTCATTTTAGAGAGAAAGCAGTTTCCATCCAAAGATGAGCAATTTGAAGAAGAAGGGGGAGAGAGCAGGAGCGCCCCCGCTGGTAGTTGGTATGTTGCCGTCAGCTGTGCTGGTGCTGGTGGTGTTGGTGGTGTTGGTGGTGTTGGTGTCTGAGCCAGGAAGGTGGCGTTGTTGATTGTTTCCAACTAACAACACCGCTGCCTGGAACCAAGAGCCGCTCTGCTCACCGCCAGATCACCCTGAACAAACAAACAGGACAGATGTGTTCAAGTCCAACTTTCTGTGAAGCGAAAATGTTGTGTTTTCTTCTTTTTTTTCGTTGTTTCTCCAAATGCGCTATAAGATCAATATACAATTTTGCCTTCTCATCAAGCTCTCCTGTGAATGAGTAAAAGTGAATAAGCAAATTTCCAGAAAGGCCTTGAAATGTGCTCATTTTAAAGTGAGACTATGCAACTTTTCCTGATCAGCAGTCACTGTAGTTCCATGAGGCATTTATTGAATAATGGAAAATGATCTAATGAAACAGTAGTGAGAGTTTAGAAGAGTTGATTAAGAAAAAAGCTCAGGTCTAGGTTAGTTGAGAACCCAACTTTAAAAATCTTTGCTAAAATAGTCAGCAACTCTGAGTCCTAAAAAGCTCACTGGAGTCAGTCAAAAACTGGTGCAATACAATGCGGCGCTGTAGCTCTCTTGTGGGAGATGTAAAAACACTGTTCTCAGACATTGAAGGTTACATGGTTTTCTTCAGTTGACAAAAAGTATAATACACAGATTCTGTTCTTCATTATTCTCTATCATCATTCTTTAAAGCTCCGGTGCAACAACCAATTTAAACCATGTTCAAACCAAGGAGGTGCAGAGACACACCAAAGTAAAGTGAAGTGTATGCCGTTACAATAAAGATCTCAAATATACATAAAACAGCAGCAATATGTTGTCAGTATTAAATAGCCAGTACTCCGACTAAATCCGTCCGTTTTAGCAACCTTTTACCATTAACAAATTAATTATTTAATGTCAATCGTTAACCTGACAAACCGCCTCGCTTTTCATGTCTGTCACATGTGCTCAGTGTGAACCTGCCGTCATCTGTGAAGAGAACAGGGAACCAATGGCAGGCCTGTGAATTCTAGTGTTCGCTAGCGAATGCCAATTGAGCTGAACGGGCTGCAGGTATCGCCTCATACTACCAGTAGTGACAAGGACACTAGCAAAACACAAAACTGGAGAGCAATAAGTCAGGAAGGATAAGGAGAGAG